CTAAAAACTATAAGATATCACCAATTCGAGCAACAACAATACTTGATTTGGTTACAAGAAAATACTGAACTAAGGTTTCCAGGATTAGTTCTAAGAACCTACTATCCAAATAGGAGAATTATAAGATATAATCCTGAACAACCTAATAACTAAAAGATACAGGACATATTTTGCAAATAAAAAAAGTAAGGGCAAAATAGTATTTTTAACAATAGAGCCCAATACTATTGTTGACTATGCTATTTAGAAAAATCTCCCCATTGTTAATAACTTAATTAAGCTCTGGTTGAAAGAAATATACATATAATGGAGCTCTGGTTGAAAGAAATACCCATTTGGTTCAACTAAAAAGGTAAATTAAATCAATTTCAATGTCATGAACGCTTAATTTTTAACACATTTAATGGAACTTAAGACTTTTCAACCACACATTCTATTAATTTTTAACAAAATTAATTGAAAATATTATTTTTAGCAGACCATACAGGAGCTAATTAAGTCAAGTATCATATATTTAACCACTAAATTAGTCCAAAAATTTTTAAATGATATAAAAGAGTTATTTCTAATATTGTCAAAGCCAACTCGATTTATTCGAAGTCGAAAATTGATATAAAATGTGGAGAATTTAGGAATTGTTCAACAACCAAATTAAAAATGACCAGTTTACATCCTAAATTTCGTTTTTATTTATTTATTTTATTAACACGGATTGAACTTATTATAATCCTTTGATCTTTTCTTTTCAAATCGATGCTAATTGCTAAGCTCATTTTTTTAGAGCATTTATAAAATTTCATTTGACTTACATCTCGATGAACTCGTCACGTGCTAGTCAATAGAAGAACAATCAGTAGCCATCCACTTCTTGGTCAAGGCGATACCCGCACATATGCATTCATGTCCCAAGCATACTTTGAAGAAGCTTTGAATTGATCTACTTATAGGTCCATGACCTTAGCATACTCTGAAGAAGCTTGTTATTGATCTAAATTTGCGGCCTCCAATTTTTTAAAACTAATTGTATTTATTTTTTCTTCGTTGGATACTTTTATCCCACTGAATTTTTGCCAAAATAGATTTCTAACGAGATAGTTATTGTGCGAGTAGTCATCAAATGGGAGTGTTATAAAGTTAAGGATAATTATTGATAATTATTTAATCTTATCGAAATACTTAGATAAATCTTGCTTACCACAGAAGAATGTATTTTATTACTTGCATGAAATCCATAATTGTTTTAATGAAAGTTATACCGGAGTTTTGACTTTATAATTAATTTTCTCGTATTGTTCTATGTTTTCCTTTATTTGTTTGCTACATCACATTATAATTGTGTGAAGATCCCCAATATTTGCTCACTAGTGCACATGTCTCTAAATTTTTTGTCCTATTCATATTTTCAATCTTTCATTAATTAATACATTTTGTCCTTGATCATGATTTTCGTCCAAAAAATCTGTGAGGATGGTCAAAAAATAATTATATATCCTTCACATTTTTTAAATAATAAAATACAAAAGTTCGAAAAATTACTTGCCCCTTACTTCAAAGCACGCTAATAGAATATTTGAATAAAAAACTTAGGGGTTGTTCTATTTCCTATTTTCAATCAGTTTTCGATTTTTCAAAAGAGTGAAAACACGTTCTCTTTCCTATTTTCGAAAATGCGTTTTTGAAAATAAGTGTAAAATTTACAAAGAAAACTCAAAACGACAGAGTGTTTTCAGTTAAAAACAACCCAAAATTTTTAAAACCCGTTTTGTGTGTTTTCACCCACCGCCAACCACCACCGCACCCAAACTCATCGTAACAGAACCACCATCTCGACCCACCACTGCACCATCGCAACCCAACCACCACTGCACCGTCACCGCCGCCACAACACCACCAAAATCACCACCCTCGCCACCAACACTAGGGCCGCCGTCACCGACAACCACCGCCACTGCCTAGATCCACCACACCGCCACCACCATCTAATCAACCACCGCTTGCACCAACCACTGCCAAGTCGCGACGCTTGCCTGCAGTAGAACAACCACCTGTTTTCAATTACAACAGCACCTTGAGTAGAACAGAGAGAGAGAGAGAGATAACCTAAAATGAAGAGAGAGAGAGAGAGAGAGAGAGAACACATTTTTATTTTGTTTATTTTTGAAAATAATTTTTCAAAATATCAAAAAGAACATATTTTCAACAATCTCAAAATGGGCACTCAAAACACAAAATCCAAAATGAATTTAAAACTCAAAACACAAAACTGAAACATGAAGAGAACAATCCCTTAGGCTCTTGAATTATCTTCCAAGTACCTACTTTATTCATGTATTGCTCTAGGTCCTTCATCACAAATAAGAAGTCTAATGAATTGATAGTTAATGATAAGAATTTAATGAAAAAAGTTGGGGATGTAACTGCGATAATATGCAAAGGTTGGAAATCTTCATTTCAATTAATATGTGATGCACCAAGCAAAATCCTTGGTGTGAATTATAATTACCCTTTTACTTATGGCATTTAACTAACAATAATGTTGATTTGCCTAAAATACTCTTCAAACTGAAGGTGAAATAAACAACAAAACTTTTATTTTATTCTATAAATTTGAGCATGAATTTGAAATAAGAATTCCCCAAAACCTTTCATTTTTTACATATATATGAAATTCAGAACGAAACTCTAATAGAACTTATATCTTTCTCCACCTATTTGAAATTAATACTTAATACAAAACTCTAGAAAGAGAATCTATGTTCTCCATTCCCTTGCTCTGTTATGTAAGGTTATCAATTAAATAGTGTCATTCAATCTATTTTATTCAGCAACTTCCAACTTTAAAGACAATGTATGCTTTTATTCTCACATTTACGCCTTTTTTAATTACTCTGGTGTTCGAGTTTTGTCCGACTAATCCAGAGGAGTGAAAGGCTTCTCCCCTGGTTCGCCACCCGGGTAAATCTGGATGCGGTCACAACTCATATACACTTAGACCAGACATTCGGGAAGCAGTTCTCCTCCCTGTGGTCCCTTTACGACATGTAGATAGGACCCCCAAAGGAACAACAAAGCGCATCATAACTTTGCCACCACATGACATGTGCCTTCCAACATAAATGTTGTCTTCCAGCTACCGCGTTGATTTGAACCTCCGATACTCCGTCGAGAACCCTCCTGCTTTATCACTGTAGCATGCCCGTGAGGGCCACATTTATGCATTTTTAATCCAATTTTAGAGCTTCTAATGTGAAAAAAGTTCGATTTTCTTAATTTCAAATTTTGAAATGACAATGTAGTCGTTTAAAATGTAAGGGTGCCATTTAAACGACATTATTTTTACTTTTCGAAATAGAAACAACTGGTGGTCTATTGCAACTTGCCATTTTGTGGTAGAGTTATTCTATTAAGTTGTCGAAATTGCACTAGACCTTCTTAGCTTAAATTAGAGATATATAAGACTCTTTTACCATGATTTACAACCTTTTAAACTTCCAACATGGAGCAAAGGTAATTAAAACAAAATTTTGCCGTGTTGACTAGCCTCTATGTATGCTATATTATA